CAGGTCTCCAGTCCATCACAGGGACACCTGGACAGGTCTCCAGTCCACCCATGCACAGAGAGAACATACAAACTCCACCCAGAAAGGCCTCTGGCCTTGATTTAGACTGGTGATCTGCTTGCAGCTCTACCCACTGTTCCACCGTGCTGTCTGTGTTTGAGTAAATGATGAACATAAACATATGTTAGCCTCAGAAGGCTCTGATAATGTATTTATTGTGAATACTGTGTGAACAGACAGAACGAGCTGAGGATGTTTGGAAGGATTTGATCTTCAATGTTCTCTGAAGATTATTAACGTGCAGATAAAATGACTCGAGGTGAGTCCAAAAGTTTGCTGAATTCATTCTTTTCAGAGTCGTCAACTCACTGTCAACTGAATCCAAACCTAAAATACGACAATAATGTTATTAAAGTTATTGAATACAACCAGAAAGAGAGACAGTAGAAATAAATCATGATAAATTAAAGTTTAATTCCTTCCTGAGCTACAGGGTAACAATAAAGACGGATCCATAAGAACTGGACCAAGGAGCAGAGGAGGAGGACGGTCTGGTCTGATGGTTCTGTCTCCAACATTTGGACGGGTCGGCTCAGTCTCGGACCTGGGGAAATCCATCAGCAAATAACGGATAACAAAGAATAAAAAAACACTTTTCAATACTAAAGTCCCGCTTCTAGCTCCTCCCACAGAACTGAAGTCCCGCCCCAGCCCCCCTTATCCCACTTAAGCCCCGCCTCCAATCCCTCACACCTCATTATCTTTAGTTACGAAACATATCAATGGGGAAGACACAACCCAAGTGCATTATAGGACAGATTGAAGCAGAAACCTCCTGATGTTTTCCTGGATTTGTTTCTCTTTGACACCAGAACACTTTGGGTTTTGGATCCGTCTGATGAGAACAACTTACTTTGTGCTGAATTATTTTCATAGCCCGTCACTGAAAGGGAGCATTTGTCCTTCTGTTAGCAAAATATCTAACGAACTACAGGACAATTTTACAAAATCCACAGAAAGCAATCATTGGATGAACATCTACAGGTGATTAAGTTTTGGAGCTGGCACACATTTAGTTTAATTTAGTTTATTTTGCACAATTAAAATACAGATCAAAGATATAAAATAATTATAATAACAGTGCAGGCAGAAGCCCGGTGGACTTAAATAAAGCCTCCACCCAATAATACAGTCAATTGATCATAAATTTAGGAATTGAGTCATACAGAAAATAAAACGCATCTACAAAGTGTTAGTGGAAAGTTTAATAAAATACGTAACAATTAAAAAGTGACAATCACAATTGTTTAATTAAGAAAATATTTCAATAATGTGTAAACTCTTGTACAGAAGGCCTGCCTGTTACCAAATGCTAAGACTCATCCAGACTTTATCTCCTGTAACGAGACGCGTGACCTCTGCTCTGATGTTTGAGAGAGGAAGTGCTGGAATAAAACTGAATATTTGATTTAAAGTAATGGTATATCCTCCTGACTTACATAAATCTTGTAAACAAAAATACAAATTTGAAAATTGTTAATGTTATAAATAGTAAGAATCTGTAAATTCTTAGAGGAGCAGAAGGACAATGATAATCTGAATGAATGGTGGTTTAAGATGGCCGCCACAGCTAATCAACCTTTGCCAACACCACAATGGTTCAGTCAGTTTTACAGTTGTGGAGCTAAGTGTTGGTGTGGTTGAAGCTGAGATGATGTTTTCGTCCACCGCAGACGATGATCTGAGTTCAGCATCTGGTTTGGACGGAGGCGGGCGACAAGCATTCCTTCACTGGATGCTTGTTGCTGTTTGTAACAAAACCCTCCTGCTGCAGCTGATAACAGAACCATGAGGTCATTCTGCAAAACCACCTCCTGTTTGGTTCCATAACAACGCTGCTGTTGCCGTGGCAACATAACAGCTGTTTGCCGTCAGACTGAATCAAACAGCTGATGGCGTCGTGGCTGTGGGAAAGATGTTGGTGTGACAGTGTGAGCTCCCAGCCTGGTCTGATCCAAATAATGAAGCTTGGAATCAGATTACAGGCTCCTGTCCAGGTTTACACTGAAACCACTGCAAGGGATCTGGGTCTAGGTCTGGTTCTGGACCCCGGCTGATGGGTTTGCTGCACCTTTGACCGATGCTCACATGATAAAAATTGAAACATGTATTTAAAGCTGTTAATATCCTTCAACTGAGGCTGATGTTGATCAAAGAGCAAAAATGTTCACTGTCGATGGAGGTCACGCACCACCATGAAAGGCAGGCAATCATTTAATTTCCTCTGTCTGTGTTTGTTTATGTTAGCAAAATATATCATGAACCACTGGACAATTTTAAACATTCAGAAAGTAATTATTGGATGTCCAGTCGACGGCAGCTGTTAGCTTGATGAAATTAAATGAGTATTTTTAGGTTCTCCCTGCTTTGGGAGTCCAACCCGAGAAAACCCTCAGTGGTGTCACCTTATAAACCACGAGCCCCCCACATGCCTGGAGCTCCATTTACCCCCCACAACAAACACACTGCTGCTGCAAATCCACCAAGAAGCAAACATCTGACGTTTCTTCAGCTCAGTATCAGTTTCTGTCCCTCAGAATGAGAAAAAGCAGATTTAAGAACAAAGTGGGTCCAGACTTGGTGCTGAATTCACTGATAGATGATCAGTTCTGTAAAAAGTTTGAATGATTTGATGCTATAAATAAAACTGTTAGAAGCTTGTTCTCTGAATCAGGCCCAGAAGAACCACAAACTCCATGGTCGAGTTCCTGTTACTGTTGTCCTGATATTTAGAGATGCGCTCCACAGTAAAAATAAACCATCGTAACAGTTTGTCTACTGTGGAAGACAAGTGGATCTGTGGGGAACCCTGATTGTATCTGTAATCAGCTGATTGTATTTGTAATCACCTGATTGTATCTGTAATCAGTTGATTACATCTGTAATCAGTTGATTGTATTTGTAATCACCTGATTGTATCTGTAATCAGTTGATTACATCTGTAATCAGTTGATTGTATCTGTAATCTGTTGATTGTATCTGTAATCTGCTGATTGTTC